ACACACACACAAGCACACACAGAGGAGAGGACACCCCGACGCTGGTTGTGGGCCCCCCCGCTGGCCATGGGCATCCAGGGCATGGAGCTGTGCGCCGTGGCCGTGGTCATCCTCCTCTTCATCGCCGTCCTCAAGCAGTTCGGCATCCTGGAGCCCATCTCCGTGGAAGGTAACCCCGCGTCCGTAACCACCCTCCCCTTCATTAATTTATTTATTTTCAGCCCCCCCAACCTCATCTTGGGGTATCTCCATCTTTCCATACCCCCCACACCCCAGTTAAAGGACCTGTTGGGCCCGTAAATGGTGCCTGTGGGGTAAAACCTGCTTTTTTGGGGGGCACTCCCCCAGAAGAGGGTTTGGGGGTGAAGCCTGAGGGTTTGGGGGTGTGGGGGGAGCTGGCAGCCCCCTGCCCTGCCCCCTGCACTTGCCGCGTCATGGCCCAGCCTTGCTCTGACCTTCCCCGAAGGGCTGGGCTGGCTCCAGCACAGCCCCCCCCTCCCCAAAACACCCCGCTGAGGGGATGCTGGGGACCCCCCAGTCCACATCGACCCCCAAACCCCTCCTGAGGGGCGATGCTGGGGGTCTCCGTGCCCCTGTTAACCCCTGAGACCCCCAAGGCAGGCTGATAGGGACCCCCCCAGCCCACAGCAACCCCCAAACCACCCCGAGGCTGGACATCAGGGGCCTCCGAGCCTACAATGACCCCCAAAACCCATTGAAGATGGGACACCGGGAACCCCCAAATCCTGCATTGACCTCAAAACCCCCCTGAGATGCGACACCAGATCCCCCATCGACCCCCAAAACCCCCCTTAGACAGGAGGTTGGAGCCCCTCAATCCCAACCCCACCCCAGCTGGGCAGAAGGGGCTCGGCGCTGCCCCTTCACACCCTGGCAAAGCCGGCTCGGCAAGAGACTGGGGGGGTTAACCCACCCCCCAATAACAGCACCCAGGAGACCCCAGGGTTTTCCGGGGTGTCCCTACCGATGCGGCATGGCAGAGCCTCTCCCCAGCCCTGGCCCGGTTTTCCCAGCCCGAAGTTCCCGATATCCCCGTCTCAGCACTGAACGGGTCCGCGGGGGCTTCCCAAGCTGGAATTATTAATGAACCATCATTTATTAATTACCTTCCGCCAGGCCAGGCGCGGGCGGGAGGGAGCATTAGCGGGGTTGGGGTGAGAGGCGGCTCCGGGATGTTCTGCGCCCTGGGAATGTGCTGCCGGAGGCGGGCATGGGTTCGGCGGCTCCTGGGGAAACCCTCTGAGTCGGCCATCTTCTCCCTCGGGATGTGAAACCCGGAGTTCCCCGGTTTTCCTCCAGGCACGAGGGGAATTTGGGGTCCGCCACCGGGTTGGGGGGGTTTGGTTTTAAGCAGGGTCAGATCTGGGCAGGCAACAGCCCGGGATCAAGCGTGGGATGATGCGGAGAGGCTGCTGGACCCCCACGGGAGTCTTTGCCGGCATCTCCCAGCAGACAGCGGCGATGCCGAGTTGGAGCTTTCGTCCGTACGGCACCAACCCGAGGGGCTGGAGCAGCTGCTGGCGCAGACCAAGTTCACCAAGAAGGAGCTGCAGTCCCTCTACCGCGGCTTCAAGAATGTGAGTGTCGGGGGGACCCTCACCCTGGCCCCCCACCGCCAGGGCTGGGGGGTGGATTTTGGAGCCGGGGTTCACCAGGCGCCCGCTCTCCTCCCCAGGAGTGTCCCAGTGGCCTCGTGGACGAGGAGACCTTCAAGCTCATCTACTCGCAGTTTTTCCCCCAAGGCGGTGAGTTGGGGGGACCCCCAAGGCCAGCGTGGGGGTGCCAGTGGGGGGGCTGTATCCAGAGAAAACGCCAAATCCCAATCCCGGCGCGTGCCGGGGTGGGGGCTTCACCGGCTCTCGCCTTCCTCCCCTCGCAGACGCCAGCACCTATGCGCACTTCTTATTTGACGCCTTCGACGCCGACCGTAACGGGGCTCTCTGCTTCCAGGTGAGCGTCCCGGCGCCGCCTCCGTGCCCGGCTTCTTGCCGGGAAAAGCCGTGCCAGCGCCGTGCTCCTCAAGCCGTGGCCGGCTGTAAGCGTGCCCAGCAGCGTGATTCATCAGATCTTCCTTACCCGCGTGCGGTCGGGGATAAAAGCTCGGCACAGCAGCGACGGCCAAAATCTTCGGTCTCCTCGACGGCAGGAGCCTGTGCCGGGAGAGTTCCAGGCACTGCGGCAGGGTGGCTGGTGGGGGGGCCGGTGCCAGTTTTACCGTGGTGATTAAAAATAGCTACAAGCGAGAATAGAAATGGGATCAATAGGAAAAAAAATCCCCCGGGCATCCCGTGATCGATGGCAGTGCCGCGGCACCATTGGAGGGGGGCAAACGGCCGAGCCAGGGGGGACACGGGTCCGTCCCTGGGGTGTGGGTGAGCCGGCGGTACCCATGGGACATCTCCGCTCACAGCCATGGTTCCTCCGGCAGGATTTTGTTGTCGGCCTCTCCATCTTGCTGCGGGGGACAGTGCACCAGAAGCTGAAGTGGGCTTTCAACCTCTACGATATTAATAAAGACGGCTACATCACTAAGGAGGTGACACGGGGACAGGGGAGACACACGAGGGCTGGGGGAGGTGGGGCAGGGTGGGAGCATGGCAGGGGACACCCAGAGAGGGATGGGGATGGTGGAAGGAGGTGTGGGGGAACAAAGGTGCCCTCATTCAGAGGGTTCTTGTCACCCTGAGCCCCGCCCTCTGTCCCCTCCTAGGAAATGCTGGAGATCATGAAGTCCATCTACGACATGATGGGGCGCTGCACCCACCCCACCCTGAGGGACAGCGCGCCCGCAGAGCACGTGGAGCTGTTCTTCCAGGTGAGACCGTCCCGCCTCATCCCCTCCTGGCAGCCGCCAAAACCCACCGTGTATCATGGGCTGGAGGCTGTCACTGCTGCTGGGGACAGGGATGTCCCCGCTGAGCCCCTGCTCTTCCCTTGCAGAAGATGGACAGGAATGGCGACGGCGTGGTGACCTTTGAAGAGTTCCTGGAGACCTGCCAGAAGGTGAGGAGCTTCGGGTGGGCTTTGGCATCACCGCCATCCTCATTCCCCTCACTGCCAGGTCTTCGAGTCCGAGACACAAGCCCGTTCTGCATCCCGTCCCAAAATGACATGCCGGGGGGGGGCTGGGAGAGATGGGGGTTGACAGCTCTGGTCACCCTGGGGCCGATGGGAGGAGGGGGACCGGGAGCTCTGACCTCTCCCTCCCGCCCCAACCAGGACAAGGACATCATGAGCTCCATGCAGATCTTCGAGAACATGATCTAGAACCCAGGACCACCTGCTCGGCCCCGCCAGCGCCTCCGCGAGCGCCCGAGGGGAACTTTTTGTCTACTATTTCAGTCAAAACAAGAGGTTAAAAGAAAGAAGAAAATAATCCACCTGGCTCCCGGCACTCTAGTTACAAGAGACGAGAAGAGATACGGATGACTTTGCCAGCTCGTCCGCCTCAGCTCCCCCCAGCACGGTGCCTGGTGATGCCCGCCCTGCCAGCCGGACCCATTTTGGGGGGCTGAGCCCCCTCCCAACGAGGATCCCTCTGCCCTGGGTGGCACAGGAGACCTCACCGCAGCACAAACCCGGACCCCTTTCCCCGGGAAGCAAGCCTTCCAGGAGGGGACCCTCTGGGGAGGGGGGTCTCTGTATCACAGCCGTGAAACGGCAGCTCCTGAAGGTCGACTGAAAGCACACAAACCTCCTCTCCTCTCCCGCCTCCCGCATCGCTTAAGGGGATCCACAGTGACAAGGGAGGCCGCTCCCCACCTTCCGGTGGTACAGGAGGAGAGGGTTTATTTTCTAAATAAAAGAAATGGCGATGATTTAGGGATGAAACGTGCCGCCTGGGGAGCTGAGGGGGAAGCAACAGTCGCACACATCCCCGGGGGGGCCGGAGAGGGTGACCCCGAGCCCTGGGGTGGCGGTGGCAGAGGCGGCTTCACTCACCAAAGCGGCGGGACGCAGCCGGGAGGGTTATTTGAGTTATATCTGCTTTTCTTCTCCTCACAAACGGGCTGGTCTCACCAGCCCGTGCCTTAGCCAGGCCCCTACCCCAGCCCTCCCCGGCCCGGCCAGGCCCCCTCCTCCGCAGCCGCCTGTTGCTCGCTCACTCACTGCGTGTTTCCATAAAATAAAGGTGAGAAACACCCGCCTCGGCCCGGCTCGCTCCCGGCCAGGGGCTCCGCCGACCCCGGCCTCGGCGCCGTCATGGCGGCGCTGTCATGGCGGCGGGGCGCTGTCATGGCGGCCGCTCCCCGTATCCTAGCAACGCCGCCGCCACTCTCCCTCCAGCCCGGGGAGAGGGGGAAGGCGTGGCCGAGCGCCACCGGCTCTCATTGGCGGTGCTGCAGGCGCGGCCCCGCTTTCACCGCGCTCTCATTGGTCTGCCCGAGGGCGGGGGCGGGGACTCGGCGCGGCGACCTTCACGCGGGTGGCGCGGGGTCGGAGCGTGCCGAGAGGGGAGTGACGCGGCGGCACGTGACGTAGGTGGCAGCGGGATCCCCCTGTGCCCCCCCCGGGACCGGGGAATCCCCTGTGGGTCCCCCGGGTCTGGGGCTGAGCGGGATCGGGGTGGGGATCCCCCAGGGTTGGGGCTGTGTGGGATCAGAGGAGGGGAGGGATCCCCCAGGACTGGGTTTGTGCAGGATCAGGGGGATCCCTGGGATCCGGGTGGTGCAGGATCACAGGGATTCCCCCAGGGACCGGGATGTGTGGGAGCAGGTGATCTGCTCCCACCTCTCCCCTGGATCTGTGCCACGCTGGGATCCATTCCCTGCCCGGGGGGCGTGTGTGTTTGTGCTGCCATACTGGGGATCTGGTCTGTGCTGGGATCTGCCCCCTTCGCCCCGCAGGGATCCACCCTCCCAATCTGTCCTATGCTGGGATCTACTCTCCCCCCGGAATCTACTCTGCCTCCACCCGGGCCCCTGGTGCCGGGATCTCCCCTCCTGCACCAGGATCTGTCCCTTCCCCCTCTCCACAACAGCCTGTGCAGGATGCGGCCTCTCCTCGCCCCACTGCAGGGATCCAGCCCCAGCCAAAGGGGGCCCCCAGCACCCCAGGATGGGAGTCACGGCTGGTGCTGGGATCCACTCCGGGCAGGATCCCGAGGATCTGGTCCCCAGTGCCCACAGGTGACAGATGCGCCTGCTGGGGGCCATGCGGCTGGTGCGGTTCCGGGGGCCTGGGGGGGCCGAGCCCCGGCTGGGGCTGGAGGAGGCAGCCGGGGGGAACGTGGTGGACCTGAGCGTAGCAGAGCCGGCGCTGCCCCGCTCCATGCGTGCCTTCCTGGAGAGCGGCCAGAGCGGGCTGGCTGCCGCCCAAAGGTGGGTGCCCCTCGTACCTGCCGGCATCACCCTTACCACTGCCAGATCTGGCCCCAGTGCTGAGACCCATCGGCCCCACAGGGCGCTGGAGTCCAGCCAGCACCGGCTGCCGAGGGAGAGGGTGCGGCTCCTGGCGCCCGTCGGGGACCCAGAGAAGGTGATCTGCGTGGGGCTCAACTACCGCGACCACTGCCTGGAGCAGAATGTCAAGATCCCCAAGGAGCCCATCATCTTCAACAAGTTCCCCAGCACCATCATCGGACCCTTCGATGACATCGTGCACCCAGAGGAGAGCAGCGTGAGCCCACCCTGCCACCGTCTCCCCCCCTCCATGGGGTACAGTCCCTCCAAGCCCCCCCAGCAGCCCATTTTCTCCCCCGGCAGGAGGTGGACTGGGAGGTAGAGCTGGCTGCTGTCATCGGGAAGAAGGGGCGGCACATTGAGGTAACCCCTACCCCGCCCCCCTCCTCGGTTCGGTGGGGTCTGTGTGTATGTCCCCACCCCAGTTGTCACCCCACCCCACCCCAGGAGTCATCGGCCCTGGACCACGTTGTGGGCTTCACGGTGGCCAACGACGTCAGTGCCCGGGACTGGCAGATGAGGAACGGGAGGCAGTGGCTGTTGGGGAAAACCTTCGACACCTTCTGTCCCCTGGGGCCGGCCCTTGTCACCAAGGAGGCAGTGGCAGGTGAGGACAGGACAGGGACAGGCTGGAGGCTCCTTCATGACTAACACAGGAGGTGACGGGTGCCGAGTTTGCCCCAAAGCATCCATGTTTTTCCTAAGAGTGGGTGTTCACAGTGGTGGGGGTCCCACAGCGCCGTTCCCCTACCCTCCACCTCAGTGTGATGTGTCCCCTCCGTCCCCACAGACGTCCACAACCTGAGGATCCGCTGCAGCGTCAATGGGCAGCTGATGCAGGACAGCAGCACCAGCCAGCTCATCTTCCGCCTCCCCAAACTCATCGCCTGGGTCTCCCGGTAGGCACGGAGGGGGGGGCCGGTGGCACCAGAGGAAGGAGGGGGGCCACAGCTGACAGCTCCTGTCCCCTCCGTCCCCTGCCCCAGGTTTGTCACGCTGGTCCCCGGGGACATCTTGCTGACGGGAACCCCTCCTGGTGTGGGGGCTTTTCAGAAGCCACCCGTGTTTCTTAAGGTGAGGGGAAGGGGGTGGGTGGCTCAAAATAGGGCAGGGGTGGCAAAGCGGGGACATAAGGGACCCCCCTCTTGCCGGGAACAAGGCGAGCGGGGGGCTGCCAGCATCTCCCTGCCCCTCGCAGAGAGGAGACGAGGTGCAGTGCGAGATCGAGGAGCTGGGCACCATCTGCAACAAGGTGGTGTGAAGAGGGAGACGCCAAATCTCACCCCGAGTTGGCTGCCTTGCCCCCCTCCCTCTGTGGCATTCAATAAATCCACGAGCATCATTCAATAAATCCACGAGCAGGGTTGGGTACCTGCTCCCAGGTTTATTAGCACAGCGGCGGCTGCGGTGGCAGCTATGGCTGGGTGAACTGCTGGATGAAGGCTTCCAGCTTTCCCCGGCTCACGCTGGAGTGGAAAGGCTGGGCGAGGTGGAGGAGGGGTCCGGTGGGGCTCCGCACCTCCTCCAGCACCTGGGGAGGGAGAGGAGCCTCACTGGTGGGGGGCAAGCTCGAGGT